CGTAGACAGCTTTGTTTTTATTAAGTTATTCCTTAAATCTCGTAAAATACCTTGCCACTTATTAACGTTGTATAGCTACAGAACTGCAACAAACAAAGTTATCTAGTCTTCAATTTTCCTTGTTTTAAATGTATTACAGATCTAAATTTTGAATATAACTGGTAATTCAGGATTGGTCTCGGCTAATCGTGCATTCTTTTTTCATGAACAATTAAATTGTATTTCATACTTCTTCTGTTTTCAAGTATGGTCATGAATAAAATTATTAATTAGAGGAGATGGAAAATGAAACTGAATTTGCAGCTGGAGAGTAATATTTTATTAATAGGGCGTAGGCGCTCTTTGAATACAAATACTGCCGTGGTTCTTCTTTTAAATGGCAGTCTTATTCAGCCGTTTAAAGTATTTTTAGGGATTCATTTTGCAAAACACTAGCTATTTACTTCATGAGGGAGAAAAAGGAAACATTTCGTAGCATATTACAGCAGAGACATTTTCCAGTAGCTCTTCTGTAGCATATCCAAGCGAGGCTTAATGTTTGAGGTCTGAGAACTTTGCAGGATTTGAAAAATGACTAACTCGTTTTTTAAAACTCCTCTGTCAATAGATTTGTGGGGCAGACTGGTGATTTCTTCCTTGATGCATTGTACGTCCTTTGATATTCCCTTGGTGTGACTGATAAGCAATCTTTTTTCCCAAGAACTTCCATGATATTTCTCCTCAAACCAACACCAATTCACCTGCAAACTTCACTCTGGGCAGAAAGCTGTCTGGATCATATGCCTCTGAAGAAACTGTCCACACAAAGTTTCTCCCAGACGTATAAAGATAATAAAGGTAGACTCATTGCTGAATAACACACACACATACTGCGTGCTTGTCTAAAACTATCTTTTGTGCTTCTGATGCCTTTGAAACCAGTTTTTAGTATGGGCGTTGGTTATTATTGGCATTTCTACAACTACCTGACCCTGAATATCAACAGTGCGAAGCTAGCGATAGGAAATTTTTTGTTGAAATGGTTGTAGTTTGAGTAATCACTGTTTCTCTGCATTTGTCAGCAATTCTTTCCCACATTTTAACATCTTTTACAAATAATTTCCTTTTACCTAGGTAATTATTCTGATTAGACGAAGTTATTCTCTTTTCAAGGTATACAGGCACTGTCTGTATACTTCTATAGAGGCCATAGCCTAGAGGTTGTGTCCTTAATCCATCGTCCTTAATACAACGCGAATGAGTATCGCGTTGTATGTAAATCATACAACGCGATACTCATTCTGGTAGAAATGAGAAACGAAATCAATTCCTTAAAAGGTATTTAAGGAAGGTTCGGGTTACTTCGAGAGAGAGAAAGCTTAGGAGTCCTTAGTGGCATGTGTTTGCCATCAGGTTACTTCGTTCTTAAAACTACTGCGCTCGGCCATATTGTTTGTGCCTGTTGTTAATCGCCGGCCCGGTTAAAATAAGGGCTAACTACGACAGGTATTTGTGTCAAGCTTCGGCTAAGTCTGTTTAGTTTATTATTAGATTAATTTCTTATTTTCTTATCTTGCATTAAAAGCCCGAGTGGGGGCTTTGCTGTAAGCCCAATAAGGGGTTATCTGTGATTATTTCTTCAAGTGAATAAAAGGGTATTTTAACTATTCTCTGGACTCCATCGTTAAATAGTCGAACTCAGCGATAAAATGCTATCCAGTTCACTAGGTTCCAGCGTAGACAAAGCACTAAGGAACATTATAAACGATAGATCAGACATGGATGGACTTATGGACTTCGACCATGTACCTAATTTTTTTTTAACAATTTCATTGCTTAAAGTCAATGTCTTTAATACCGTTGAAGATTTAAACTTCAAAGTCTGCTGCTAAAATTCGAAGTCTAGGATTCTTAACAGAAGTAACACGCTGGCTTGAAATCTGGAAGGTACTATTATATTCGTTGCTAAGTTACATTATCCAACGTCGTGACTTTCCAATTCAAAATTCAAAATTAAGAGTTTTTAAATATTCAGTTTAAATAATATATGACTACGAATAGTGCATCAATATTTACTTCACAGTAAGTGATCAAAATTTCTTGAACAAAGTAAAAGATTATATTAAGTAAAAAAAAAATTCCCATCAAACTCTCCTGATTGAATTAAAATCTTATATCCTTACTAAGATAAGATTAAGTTATCTCATACCTAATTCATCTTCTCGTCTAAACCCAAATCGCAAATATGACTCTTCATTGAAAAAGAACCATTAGCATCGAAACGGGAAAAAAGATCGCAGTAATACTGGCAGGCAGAAATATCTAATTTAAAATTTCATTTTCTCAAAATTATTATTAAAAGATAAAATCACACTAACACTAAGAAAGCCGGTTGGGAGTTTTAAATGGTAAGGAAATGGGGGCCAGGAAGAAAGGACTGAGTTAAAATTAAGCTTTTATTATGATTAATTGATGTAGTAAAATCCCTTTTATCCAAGCTAATGGGAAAGGAGTCAAATTTCTAATAAAATTTTTTATTAATGCCATGATAATTAGCTTCAGAAACTTAGAGATACTGTTAAGCAAAAGTATGTGTTACGAGGCATATTTGTTGCACTTATTTATATTCTTTGAAATATAACCAATCGCCTTTGAATTTTTTACTCGCAAAGTCTGCGGACCGTTATGTCTCTCCAATGTTTGATGAGCTATATACGTGAATGCTATTAAAACAATAGTGCGCCCCAGCGTTCTTGAGGTCAGATTTCATAGTTTCATAGAGATAAGGTTTCACTATTATTGTATACATAGATACTGATCACATTTTTCATTATAAAATAACTATTAACCTAATAATAATAATGTTGATGATGATAAAAAATTTTCATTTTATGCCAAAAAGAAAAAAATGTTACTTTACACGCACAGTCAGATCAAACTATGACTTGGGGAATAAAGATTTATAATTCAAACCTACTGTTCTGTACTATATTCATTTATTTTACTTTTCCCTAAACATAAAACTAAGGAAGGCAGACTCATATATCAGAATATCAAACTGTTCTGAGCTCTGAAATAATAATCATGTGTGTTGGGCAGATAGAATGAATTCGCACGCAGTTTTTGTTTTACCATACATAGACATATAAACGTTTATCTCTCATGATTCTCATAACTGTTTGGAAAAATTACAGAAGCAGTTCTCATACCTTAAGTGTATTAAGGTAAAGACCAATAAATCCAGGCTTTATAGTAGAGGAAGTCCAAAAAAATATAGAAAATACCTTGCTAAAATAAAAGATTTAGAAAACGGTCAATAAAATAAACTTTCATTCCATTTAAAAGTGTTTGGAGAAAATACATTTCCTTTTCGCGCTTAAAAAGGAGAGAAAAACTATTGAAAAATAAAGAGTGTTACGTGTTCCCTTTCCACATCTGAAACCACGTTTGAAATCGATTTTAGCCTTTAGCTACTATTTTGTGAAGTGAAACATCTACAGAATAGGGTAAAAATATTTTGTGGGAATAATGTAGTTTGATGGAAAGAACTTTTCCATGCATATATAGGTGGTAAATTGTTTTATAGGATTAAAGTAGTTCCTTTCAAATGAATGGTATAATAAATGAAGACATTTCCAACATTCATTGGATTTTACTCTTATGGTTTATTTCACTCTATTACTCATCCTCTCAAAGTTAGAGAGTTCTTATTTAAAACATTTGTCATGCATTTGATAAGCACAAAGTCAAACATGTAAACTGATGAAATAAATAAATAAAAGCGTAATTCATTATTAAATTAAAAAACATTAAATCTAGAAACGAATTCCCTAAAGCAAAACAAAACTTTGTCTATAAAACTCAAAGTAGTAAATCTTTTATTCGATTAAATTCAAACGATACAAAATCTATCAATATCAGTTATTTTGCATTTATGTTTGTATATTTGTTACATAATGCCCACGAGCATATAAAACTGTTAAGCATTAATAAGATTTTCCGCGAATTATATGCCATCGAGAGGCTAGTTTTACAGTATTAAATCTGTGCAATTTAAATATTAAGCAATTTTTTAGACCGTCATCAACGAAAACAATTTTTTGAAGCACTATGCTCTCGAGTGCTTTGCCATAATCGCTTATCTAACATGATTTTTGTTTTTTATATTTGTTTCTGTCTAGTTCCATGCTTCTCCATTCAATCTATTACGGTATATCTTGATGCAGAATTTGAAGTATTTAGGTACCGATGTCAAATGAGACGTGTGTTAATTTTCGCATTCTTAAGCATTATTATGCACTTACATTGAGATCTTGAAAATAATAGAAAATTTAGTTCAAAATGTCCCTTCCAATGGCCATACACTTGCTCCTTCAGCACAAAACGAGAATGGCCAAACCTAATGGTCATTTGCCACCTTCTCACTGAGAACTTTGCCTAGGGTGCACAGCAAGAATTAGAAAGATGAATAAGAAGGGGGACTCTGGATTCAATCCCGGGTCTGATTGCAGGGTAGCAGACACTTCTACAGTCATACTGAACAGTGTGCCGTTTAATCCAAAAATAACTGCGACAGAAAAAGTCAAACCTGAAAAACCTATATATAACTATAACAGCGGAAATATAACTCATTACGAATTCAGAATTATATCATCATGACACATGTAGTCGTAAAGCTTCATTTTAAAGTAAAAGCTTGTAAAGCTTCATTTTAAAGTAAAAGCTTGTAAAGCTCCCTTTTAAAGTAAAAGCTTGTAAAGCTTCATTTTAAAGTAAAAGCTTGTAAAGCTTCATTTAAAGTAAAAGCTTGTAAAGCTTCATTTTAAAGTAAAAGCTTGTAAAGCTTCATTTTAAAGTAAAAGCTTGTAAAGCTTCATTTTAAAGTAAAAGCTTGTAAAGCTTCATTTTAAAGTAAAAGCTTGTAAAGCTTCATTTGTAAGCATATAAAGCTTCATTTTTTTCAGTGGTAATTTATTTAATTCCACAAAAGTCATTTACTTCTTTTTTTATTATTCTCTTAGGCTCGTCAGGATCGGGCTCCGGATTCTACAACAGGAAACACCGTTCCTGTTTCCAAAAGAAAGCCACAACCTTCTACGAACAATACGCTGTCGAACCTCCATTCAACGAGCGTAAGTTGATGTTATTTAGTTTCATACTATATTAATAGTTTTTAATTCTCTAAGTTTAATAAGTTACTTATTCAGAGGAATTTTTAAGTTTTTAATTCGGAAGAGATATAACAACATGAAATGCAGTCACATGCAATTGAAAGCAAAAGTGCAGTCTCAAGTACGCAGAAACAGCTATTTTACCTTTAGATTATTAAGACACGATGTTAGAAACCATTAGCTAAAATTTAGCTATGCCCTAGCTTACGAGTGTTTCTATGTGACTCTAAGCAGCACATAGAAACAGTCGTATATCGCCGGCTGGTAAAATGAAGACTCAGTAACTTCCTAAAGTATTTTCCGCTATGACTAATTAGTCAGTTATTCTGATGACAGCTTATCTTCATACCGAGATATTGTCAAGCACAAAACTGGATTAAAAAATGAACGTAAATAAGAGAGTCAATGCTAGAAAATATGTATGCGAGATTTATCTGTTGTATTGACTCTGACTCTTGCTGTTTGAGATCAACTCATATTATGGCTAATCTAATGAGACTGAAATATACACAACTGGAAAATTTCTTAATAAGCTTGTAGAGTCATTAGGTTGTTTTGAAGCATGACATGAAAAATGAGCAATGCCTTCCCCAGGACTCAAACCTGGATCTCTCGAATACGCCCCGAGTGTGCTACCGTTACACCACGGAGGCATGCTACAAGGAGGGACAAGGAGGGAGGAAAAACTTTATATAGTTCCCCCCTTTAAAGGGCGAATGGGAATTAGGGAACCCAGTCGCCAAATCTTGGTGGTGACGAATTATTATCCACCGCCTTTTAGTTCGGGCGATACTTGTAAAAATATTTTTTGTAAAGTAGAGTAGAGTTGTTTTTTTTTTTTTTTTTTTTTTTTTTTTAAAGAGGCACAAAAATGCAGGAGACATGAAAAATGTGCTTGCCGGGACTTGAACCCGTCCCTTTCGAATATGCGCAAAGTAGTCTACCGTTACACTACATAGGCATTCTGGAAGGAGGGAGAAAATACATTATACGCTAATTAAAAGTGTTTGATTAAATGCTATGATAAGAACTGTTCTAATCAAATTAACATAATGTATATGCTATTCTTATGAAACATGCGCAATTAAAATTTTAATATCGATTTCTTCCTTTATGCGAAATTTATAAAACTGTGGTTTACTGAGCAAACATAGTGTAATTTAATGCAGCCATTTTGCAATCTAATGCAACCAAAGTCTAGTTGAAATTATGACTCTGATTCCTGTATTTGACATTAAAGATTATGTAATGTAAATTTCACAATAATTTGTGGTGTGTTTTTTATTCTTTGATTTAAAGCGTCTCTTTCAAAATCACATTTATCTTCTGTAGAAAAACAATTTCCAAATATCTTATTGCGTGCGTCAGAGCAATGAATCTCTTTTTAAGAAATAAGCAAGTATAAATTTCTCGCTGCTATAGCTACATAATCTCAAATTCTTCGAATTCGTCACATGAAAAACACGAACGAATGTAAAGAAATGAAAAATGAAAAAAGATACTTCGAAATGATTTTTATCTCTCTCTGTTATGCCCAGGAAGTCTCAGTTCTGTAGTGCGCTTGGCAGGAGCTGTGACAACAAATATATGGAATGTCATAAATAACTTCGAATTTTATTAGATTGAATCATATAGAAATATTAAATCTTTAATAAAGTCTTTCTCAAGTTTCGGTGACGTGAAAATGAAAATCGTTTCTTAATTTTGCTTTTGCACAGCGTTATCTTAAAACTCTGAATTTGAGGAGTTGAACATGGTAAATATAAAATAGGTCGCAAATAATAAATTTACTTTTTTATAACTTGAATTATATTAAAATAATAAACACCTAAGGAATTTAAATAAAATACATTTTTCTCTAGAATATAACCTCTTGAAAATTCTGTAGCTGAGAATGTAGTTCCTCTATACTGCATGGATGCAGCTCCGCGCCATGATTACAAAGAAAAATTCATTTCCTACGCTCTTGCAGTCTGTTGTTATGAATATGCGAAGCACATGAACATGACAAGGTACTCTCCATATTAATACATCAGCTATAATTCAATTTATTGAACGTGTATGTTTGCACTTACAGAGCAAATTTCCAGACGAAGAATTAAGATTGGCAAGCATTTACTAATGAAATTATTATGAATTCAGGAAGCAATTTTGATTTCGGAAAACAAACTTAATATAATACAGCTTTCCAAAAAATATTCGTATTTTATGGTAAGTAAAATGGAACGAACTATGGAACGAATATTCAGAACTGAAATTTACAATTTTAGAGAGAACTAAACAAGGATAGTTCAAGACATTTAACGATAACATAATCTTTGTTCAAACTAACCCTGAATTTTCTAATATTTTCTTTCTATAAACATTAGGGGAACTGTTTAAGCATCCAGCGCACACTGCGAACGCAGATTTTCTGTTACGAATTCTATAAAAACAAAATACCAAAACAGACTCGAAAAGGAACACTTCGCTTGATGTTATGAGAATTTAATTACATTTATCCAATGGTCAAGAAGTGAAGACAAATTCAGTTTGAAAAGAACAGTTTTCTACAAAAACTATGTTCGTTTGAAATTATTTTTTCTTAAATATGTGTACGTATATGGATATAATGAAAGCTAAGAATTTTGTACAAATTGGTATTTGTGGAATCTTTTTGGCCACAATTGATTTTTGGTTCTTCCAATTGTGGAATAGTTCAAAGGAAATTTGGTTGAGAAATTACGTAAACTAAATACAAATCAGGTCTGCCATATGCTTTTTTAAATACGAAATATTTATGTCAGTTTTAAAGGTAACATTTTTCTTTGCTTCCTTACTTTCCGATACTTAAAATGCACATTTTCAATCCCTACAGCTGAAATAAAATTAAAATTTAAGCAGCTGCAGGCTGTTTAATCGCATTATCCAAAATCTTATGAGGAATTTTTCATATTTTACATTTCTTTAAAATTCACAGCATAGGTAATCTTTAGTACTTATCTTGAGATTTAATTTTCTCTTTTTTCCCTATTCTCCTCAATATAAATGTTAATTTTGCATCTTCACTTTGCAAATCTGATGTACAATAAAGTTCCATTTTATGCTGAATTTTATTACACATTTATTTTTAAATTTTTATCTACATCCATATATGCACTGAAATAGAAAACACTTAAGAAAAACCAACACTCATTGCAAAATATTCTATATTTCTTTAAAAATTTTAGTACATACGTACTATGGTAATTAGATGCCGCAGAGCCGCAAAATAAAAATTTGTAAGACTGCAATGCCTGTATGACAAGAGACAAGCTTAGAATGTAGATCTACAATGCATGTATGACAGAATGCCTCAAGAGCTGCAATGCCTGTATGGCAGTTACGAACAGATACGAACTGTGCATTGCAGCATATTTCCACTGAAGACTCTGGTGTAAAATTAAAATACTTTTCGAGAAGAATTTAAGCTCTTGAGGCTTTAAGAAAGAGGCTGGTATACATCCGTTTGGTACGCTGAATAAGGCTGGTGTGCTGCAATTCGGTGAGCATTTCTGACGTCCTAAATCGACATCTCCATTACACTGAAAAGGATTAGACCTAATCTGATGTTTGTAGCCACCTAAAATGCCTTACTTCAGCAGCAGTACTTCTGTACATCTGTAACCAGGTATAGAGACGTCTTTCTGCCTTGTATTGCAGCTTCGCTTTTTCAAGGTAAACAAATGACTACCGTAATAAAAATATGGTTATTTCATTGACATTTAGCTGAGAAATGCGCATTCTCTATTGAATATCTGCAGTGAATCTGAATTATTTAATTATTATTTCAGCTATTTTCATTTTAATGAAAGCTATGTTTATGTTAATATTAGTGTAAAGAAAACAATTACCCTGGTATTTAATTCTATCAGATATAATGCATTAATGAAACTCTTTTGTTTCGCATTATATTAAATGATGCGTATAATATAGAGCTATCAAACAGTTTCATCATTTTTGAGAACTAGCAAGTACCAGGTTTGAAATTCAGTCTGAAATATTTTCAGAATTCAAAATCAATGGACTGACTTTCCCACTATCCTGACTTGACCATTCAATTACAAATCTTCTGTAGGTGCTTTAATGAAGAGTAGAAGGACACCAAACGCAGGTCAAACATACCTTTTATGTAAATGACCTACCTGACTAATAAATTATATAACCGTCACATTAAATAGCATTTAAATCTGTCACTTCAGAAGAAACTTCTTATCCGAGATAATAACTGGTAATTTCTTCCTGGAAACAAAACGGGCTTGTTGTACTAGATATGCTCAAAAATATCTAAGCGTTTACCCTTCTTATTTTTGCTTAACAACACACGCTTTAATCCCAAATAGTTAAATATTTCCTAATCCCAAATAGTTAATATTCAAATTAAAAGTTATTTCTTAAGAATTCTGCAAACCTTTCCTATTTCAAGAAGTTCTTTCCCAACCCTTGAAGTCCCCATTACTGATTTGGAATATCAAGACATTCGCAACCACCAGCACTTCCCTTGATACTTAGGCCAGTTTAAATGGGATGTCAAACAGAAAACTCAAGTCCCCGAAAGTATCAAAGAATACGTTTCAACTAGTTGATTTAGTAACGTATGAAGTGCACTTGCAATCTGGACTATTCATTTCTGTTAATGGAGTGGACAAACGTAAGTAGTCTATGATGCAGATTCTTTTTATAATTTCATTTTTCTCTTTATGTTCTAATATAAATAAGTGTTGTTCGATGGCAGGTACATAAAAATTCTCCATTAGAATATCACCTCGAGCCTTACTAAATCAACTATCTAAAACGTGTTCTTTAATATTTCCTGGAATTAAAGCTTCTATTTGACATCTCGTTTAGATATGTCTTATTGCCATTTGAATATCACTTCATACGTTACTAAATCAGTTATCTAAAGCTTATTCTTTAACATTCTGAGGGGCATGATTTTCTGT